CAGTGACAACAGTTTAACAAAAATAAAACTGGGTAAAAAAATACTTTGGTTCCTCAAAAACAGTTTTTTGTTTTAAATAAATCCTGGAGCAGTTTTTGAATCTGTTTACTTTTTCTTTACAAGGTGGGACATCTAACTGAGCATGTACAGTGTGAGTGTCATCACTCTATGTTTCTGTTTGGAGAAAAATGACGTGTTGCAACCGTCCCTTGTTTCTGCTGTCCCTGGTCTCCCCTACATTTGTTCTGATTCAGCAATAGTAAAAATCCCAAGAATCTCTGATTCTCCGTGTGCATGTTGTGCAGTGTTTACTGTAGTTTTCCTGTAAAAACTGTATAAAAATGGCAGGTTGTAAATTTACAGACAACCACCACCCCTGCTGCTCTCACTTTATCCCCCTGCAAGAGCACCAGGTGGGGAAAGGAAAGAACCATAAAAGAAGTGTACTAAAATGGGGGCTGTAGACTGAAGTGCAGATTAACCTGAGACCATCCCTCACAGAGCTTTATGGACCGACCTGCAGCAGAAGAGCCAGCGCTTGCATCTTTCTCCTGTGAATTACGACAGCACAGGCGGATCAACCACCCACCAGGGACAATATTAACTGCTGATTTGATGAAACATACTCACACACACACGTACACATGATTAGCAGCCCATATCTTTGGTGGGATTAAGTGAGCAGAGCCGTGGCATCACCTGTGTTGGCGGGGGAGTGATTTACTCAGATCTGTGCATGTAGAGGAAGGCTGGAGGTCTGTGCAGTGTTGATGTGGAGTGGATGCTTCTGTGTGAGAGCAGGTGAGGTTTTTATCCCTTCACTTCACTAGTAGACATCATTTTTACCCTATCTTAGATTTACAAAAGTTAATGTACAAATTTAAGTATTTTGTTTGTACAAGGAATGAATAAATGACACTGAAGTGTGTTTTGTTTGTAAAATTGTTTCCCAGATTATAGCACTAACCATCTTTTTGAACTCACCTGGGTCCTGGGTTATTTTCAAGATTTCCTAATCATGAAGATTAAATTTGTCTTATTTAAAAGCCTGTTTTATGGACTGCCACTCAGATGTTTCATGTAAGATGAAAATCTAAGTCAAACTTTGATAAAAACTGATTCTGAAAAAAGAAAAAGAAAACGTCGAATAGGTCCTCGGTGCTAGGCTGCAAGCCAGCTTTATCCACTCTGAAGGTTAATCTTGGACAATATCTTAAGATCAGCTCTTTTAAATGAAACCAGAGAGCGTTGACCGAGGAGAATGTAGAAATGACTCAGCCTGTACATGAGAATATAAAAGAAGAACCTCAGCTTAGCCTGTCAGCTTTCTTTCTAGAGCAGACGCCGTATTGCCATATAGATTAGCTTAGTGCTACACATTCTCCTCTCGTCACTGAGGTACTCCATCCACATGACAGAGAGGGGAATGTAGAAATTTACTCAGTCTGCAACAGAAAATGTAGCTGAAGGACCTCAGTTTAGGTTGTTAGCTTTTGCGCTAGCACATAGCTAATCCACATATAAGGAAATGTAGCATTAGTTCTAACACTAAAGCTAACAGGCTAAGCTGAGGTTCTTCTTCCATGAAGCAGCTCTGTTGTCCTCCATCCATATTTTCAGTTCCAGGCTGAGTCATTTCTACCTTCTCCTCTCCGTCAATGCTCTCTGGTTTCATTTAAAAGAGCTGATCTTTGGGGGGTGGGGTGCCGGGAGCCCCCCCCCACCCCCACCCCCACCCCAAAGGGGACCACAGGAGAGAACAAAGAGAGCCCCACCAGTGCAGAGTAAAGCTTAGGTTATAGTTGATACAACGCACAGGGCGTAAGGGGGTTTGCATCAAAAGTTACGCAATTGCGGCGTCCCCGCCCCTGCGTGTTGGCCCCGTGTTGTGTCCTGGCACGTGGTCATGCACTTCCGAAATTTTGAAAGGCCGCAAAGGCTGCACGCCACTCGTTGTGAAGGTGCTCTCGCTGAACAGGTCCGAATGTACCGGCATCTGTAGGATCCCTCCATGGGAGATCATTAAGACAACCAGATGGCACAAAACTCATGGAAGGAAATAGCAATGGCTTTAAAGAAAGATGAGTTATATGCTGGACATGGAAAAATATTTGCGACCGATTCGTGATCCTGGAGGAAACAAACCAGTGTGGTTCTCTCAGTTCGTGAGGCACAGAGAAACAGATAATATGGAAAAAAGAGGTAAATGTATTTTACTTTATGTGTGACGTCAAGCATTTCTTCTTCTACACTCTTCCTGACTACTTTTCCACTGCTTTGGCACGTACTGCCGTCTGTCGGTGACGGAAGAACAGCGATAACGTGAATGTCAACTATGTTTTCACACAGTGTGCGGCTCAGGAGCGCACACACTCCGCAGAGCTTGCGCAACAACCCAAAGCGGGACTAAAACCCAGCCTTAAACCCCTGGAGCCAGCAGTGACGAGCTCACAGGCCCTGCTGGTACCCACCGTGCCAGAGCAGATCCAGGCATGGACACAGAGGTCCAGGTCTCATCCCCAAGCTCACAGCCCCAGACATTGAGAGCCACCAGTGCACCAGCGGGCAAGGCACAACCCACCAGAGGGCAGCGCAGCATGGGAAGCAGTGTGCCCTCAAATGAACCCCAAGAAGGGGCTGCCCAAGTCCCAGCCTCACAAAAATCCAAGCATACACAATCACACAATCCCACTGTCATGTTTGAACCAAGACTCATAGGCAGCAACAGTCACGGAGACAGAAAAATGTTTAACAAGTTTGTTTTTGGGAGGGAATGCAAATGTAAAGAGTACTGTAACTCAGGAACTGGTGATGGAAACCACGTCTGCAAGAGAGGACAGGTGATGAATATATTTTCCAGAATAGGATATTCTTTAAAGGCCTGGTGGGTCTTACTTGGTGCAGGATGTTGGTAATCCAGAAGTGGTAGTTGTGTACAGAAGCAGTGGTTGGCAGTTGTGGCATGATTTCTTTCCAGGAGATGGCAAAGCGTTGGAGGGCGGACAGGCAGGCGAAGTAGTTTACCGCTTTAAGTGAGTCAAGGAGACTACAGTGTGCTTGACTCACTTCTGTGTTGAAACCTGGACCAGGTGAGTGCAGCAGAGTACCAAGTGACCAGAATAATCCAGACTGAGGGACGGCAGAGATGAAACGGCACAGTTAGGCTGAGGACAAAGTCTTAACTAGTGCAAAATGACACTGGAGGACCTAATTACCACACAAGGTGAGTTAACCATCTGGCAACTGCTGTTTGAAGTTGCTCCCCTTTATAGAGTGCTGATTGCCTCAAAACAAGCTGCACCTGGAAGCAGCTGAGCTTGTCACACCCTACAGAAGGAGGAGAAACACACACACAACTGCACACTGCTACTGAAATCACAACACCCACCCTCATCCTCCCACCCACTCTTTCAAGACACACAAGATGGACGCCAAATTCTACTCACACTCCCCATTCATACTCTATACCCCCCAGGCCCAGGATGTGCTCCCGTCCCCTACAGAGGCAGCTCACATCTGAACCCAGGGGTAGACCCATTCATCTTGGGGTGGAGAGGCGCAGATAGCCAAGTCTCGGCCCAGGCCGCACCAGGCTGACCGGCCAGCCCCCCCCCCCCACCCCAGTGAAGCCACACTCTGGACCACCCCCATACACCGCCAATGGCCAAGCGCACACCCCCCAACCGACCACCTGCCGGACTCCGGCAGCCACCCCAGCTAGCAGGCCAACCACAGTAACCAGGAGCCAGACTCCGGGAGCCCGAACAGCCCCAGGGAAGCTGGAGCGCCAGCCCCGCCCCCAGCACCCGTCCAAGCCCCAAGTCCACTCGCAGCCTAGGCCCCACAAGATGGTCTGCCCCTCCTCTGGACCCCATCCCCAGAAGGCCAACAGGGAATGGGGGAGTGAAAAAGACCCCGACACCCCCACCCTCAGATGTACTGTTGATGCATGTTGTTCTATAATGCAAGTAAAATGGGGAAGAAGGCGGAGCAGAGGCTAGCACAGTGCCACTTTCCCCTCCACCCCAACTCTAACCCAAAACCCTAAATGTCTTGTAGCAAACAATGGGAGTGGGCACAGGCATCAGTGGCAAGAGTAACCCATCCCGCCCCTTGTATGCCATAGAGCACATGCCTGTGCCCACCCCCAAGTTCCTATATGTAAATGTTATGAGGACGTTATGAGTGAATGTCTAAGGTTTACAGTAAAATTGGAGCCCAGGTAGTTATAGCAAACAGAGATGTAAAATTGTTGCTCCTTGTAACACACCTCTGCCCCAAAAACCCTACATGAGTGCAGTTGATAAATGAAGAGGGTAGAGGTGTGTGGTGGAGGATGGGGAGAATAAAATGACTGAGGGAGCAAAATGTTCCCACAGAGGGCCAGCTCCCCTGCTGACCCCGGTAGACTCCCCCATTTCCTGAGACCCACCCAGAGACTGAGGCTGCTACCTCTTCCTCCGGACAGACCACCAGACCTGGAAAGCCTCAGACCACAGACAGACAGAGCGCAGAGCACCGCCAGAAACCGGGACCAACAGTCCACCCACTCCAGAGCCGTCCAGACCCCCCAAGACCCGACCCCCAGCCCCACAACCAACTGCAACCCAAAGAAGCTACCGAACCCTTGCCAGGACGATTCAGCCAAGAGTGCACATGCAGCCACAGACAGCGCAAGAAGTGGCCTAGAGCGAACCTCCATCACAACAAAGTGGCCAACCAGCCAACCCAGCACAGCTCCCGGCTGCCACCAAGGCCACCTACCCAGCCCCCACCCCAGAAGCAATACTATACCCTCCCCATCATTCAGATAACTCTCAGAACATATAGCACGCTAGACACCCAGGCTGGGTTGGCCTATCCCCTCCCACAGGCCACCAGCCCTGCCTCCAGCTAGCTCAACCCTCCAGCTCATGAGACCCACAGCCCACCAGCGCACCAAAGGCCCCCTGCCCAGAGCCGGGCACCAGGGCACAAACTGGCCCAGAGCCAGGCAACCCACCAGCCAGAACCCAAGCCCCCCAGCCCCACCAGGACCACAGCCCAGGGGCGGCATGACCCCAGAACCCTAAGCCCCCAATGCCCACTCCAAACCCACTCCAGCACAGCCAGGCCACCGAGTCAGCAACACATCGCCGCTGCTACAGAGCACCTGAGGGCCCACATGCAGCCACCAGAAGACATCCCCCAGAGCCACCAAGGCCCTCCCCAGAGCGAGAGTAGCGTCACCCCACTTTTAGCTGCATCTTAACGTTGGAGATGAGGGGTCATACAGAGCATGTTGAAGGTGAGGACCCACTCGGGGATGAAGAAATAAGAAAATAGCCAAAAAATAAAAACTATTTAGCAGGACTAAGGGCATTATAATAACATTATAGACTGAAAACAAAGGAGGTTTTCCAGATTTGCCAAAAATCAGCTTAGTTCTAATGT